AACTTGATACTGAATCAAAGAATAATGATGCGGTTTGTTAACTTGCATATTCGTGTAGATAATAAAACATTTTATTATGTTGTGGGCTTTCCTATGTTAAAATGTCTCAGTTACAACTCGATAACATCGCAGAGCGACGACAGAGGCTCCATTCCATGGCTCGCATTAAAAAAATGTTTACCCTCTCGGCGTATTGATGTGGGCCTTTATAATACACCCTCGAGGATTAGAGTAAACGTCTTAGAGGGTGGACGAGGGGGTTCGGAGACGGTCGAGGCGGTGCAGGGGGACGGCGACAAAATTCAGTTATGAAAGTATGAAAACGCGACCGTATCGATTTTATGCGAGCCGCCGGCCGCGCTCTAAACTGAATGCTACCTAAAGTTACACATTCACATTGCTCAGTTAGACATTTCATTTCTCTGACTGTTCGATACAAATTACAATAAAACAGTCAATATCTAGTACTTCCAGTAATGTAGAACGTAATTACTATAGTATGTAGTATTAGACCGAATTCCAAAATCACTCTTAAATCTTCAACGCCACTATTCTTTTTAATCAGCATGTTTCTGAATATGTTAATTGTTACAACTTGTAACGAAATTGGACGTGTAAAGATACAAAAGACGGTAATAATTAAGGTAACCGTCCGCGGCGGCTGGCGGGGCGTGGAGTTGCTGATTGCCACCGACCTGTCGGCTGTCGGCTGTCGCCCGAGCCAAGCATTAACCTATTGACTGATCGGAATGTGTCGGACGCACCCCAAATTGAATAATAACTTGTTAGAGTGAGCCGGCGGGGTACGCAGGGGTCGCGGGGGCGGCGGGGAAGGCTTTGTGCGACAAATTGCCACAAATTGTAAGCAGACGCGATCGCAACTCGATTACCGCGCGCCTGCAGCGGATTGGCCGCACGCCTCCCCTCCCCCAGCGCCCCCTACACGCGCCAAGACGAAGAAATGAAATTATGCACTCTTGGTAAATAAGACGCTTTGTGCAATATGCGGCCTCGCCGGAGACTTGTTTAAGTTGATACCGTCTCCGCGCCTCCGCCGGGCGGCCCGCCACCGCACGGTACAAGTTAGGCACTGCTAGGCTACGCAATTACTCCAATGTACCCTAATTCTGCACATAACTACTTAAAGTTCAAGTTATACTGCAGAACTAAAACTACTTTAAATCAAGAAAGGCGATGATCAAAATCTACAGATGACAAACAACTTAGATCACAACGTGGGAGTTATTTAATTTAATTTAACATCTTCATTAAAACAGGTTATTAACAACCCTAACAATTTAAGATTGTAAATACAGATTAGTTCAATTGAAAATAACATAAACATAACAGAAACATAATGTCCAATATCTTGTTATAATCATGTTAATACATTTAAGGCAATAAAATGAATTAGTTCCCGGCGCGGGCGACGGCTCCCTCGGGGCGCAATCGCTTAGCACCTTGATTGTAGCATTAGTGGATGTAGCACGCCGCATTATCCCCTTTGTCCTGCTCCCGGGGGATTAGACGTGCCCCCGCACCCCCGCCCGGCCTCCGGCACCGCGCCCTGCACCCCCGCCCCCGGCACCGGTACCGGCCACCGGCGAATTAATTCTTTCTATTCAATATACTTTTATAATTCAATTTAGTATTGCAGCCCGGTACGTAATCTAGCTGAAACAGGTAGATGCGGAAAAAGTTATTATGCCAACAAAATAACTATTTTAATAGCTTTATTCCACGTATGTGATGTTCGCAAGTCGCAAGGGACATCGAGATACTAATCGTTATATTTATCATGTTATTAAATATGTTTTAAAACTTAACTAACGTGAATCATTCTCACATTTTTCTGCAATTGGCTGCAAATTAAATATTCATGCAAATGTCAACGTGTGATGTCATTGTCTAGATTCAGTCAATTTTATTGAGAGACCACTTGTGTAGCCTCTATTACACTATCACTACGTCTTATCACGACACTTCTAATTATTTCATATTCACACTCTTCAACGATACGTGACGTCTGTGAAGAATTTATCGATATTTAGCGTAAATTAAACAAAACATATTTGATAATCTAGCTCCTTCAGTGGTAAATATAACTTGGCATCGAAATATTAGAGAAACCTGCAACAATAAAATAATACAAATAATGTCAGTATCATTGTAATTTATGAATGGGTTAAGAGAAGCTCCGACTGTTGGCTGGTGGCATTCCTCTCTGATGTTACAAACGTGCATTAGGCTTAGCAGTACGCGGGGCGCGGGGGGCGGGGGGCGGCCGACAAATTGTTTCACAAGCATTACAAATACGACCCTTAAACTAATGCGACCAGCTATCCCTGGCCCCTGCACCACAACCGGCAGAACACGCTCGGACGTGACCCGGGGATCAGCAGCGACTGGCGATTGTCACATACAAGTAATAAATTGTCGGGTGCGAGCAATTCTCTCGCACGGGCGTCACGCATCATTAACGGGCGCGAATGTGCTGCCAAATTAACAATTACACGGGACCTTTGTGCCTCTATGTTAATTAGGAAATTCGGAGCCCCGCCGCCTTCGCCCTCGCCCCGCCGTCCCGCACGCATACCTTCATATGGGAGCTACGGTATTGTGCTCAGTTCTTATTGCCTTTACCCTATTGCGTATGTATTTTATCTTTTATTGAATCATTACATCTTTACCTTAATTAAGTTCACTGGCATGTACAGTTTATGATAAAATTTTAACAAACAATATCCTTCAACTCTCTTCCACCAGACATTTGCAAAATTGACTTGAACGTCGAAAAGTTGTACCAAAGTGATTTCGAAATTTCATATGTACATAATTTACCCGACGTTCTAACGATGAAGGAAAACATCGTGATGCACATATCGGCGAAGAAATTCAAAGATATGTGTGAAGTCAACCAACCAGCAGTGGGCCAGCGTGGTTGACTATGGCCAGGCACCCTAACTTAGGTAGGCTCCGAGCCGTTCGGTGGGGACATATCGTGAACTGGTGATGATGATGATGATGAAGATGCTATACCTAATACCTTGTTATCCAAAGTTTCCTTAAAACTGTAGAGTTGTGAACTTTTGAAAACTCAGTGATTTCCTTCTGTTGCTTAATTTGATTTCTTAATCACCATATTAAGTAGGATTTAGAAACACTTGTAAAGGATCAGTTGTGAGCATCCCTTCACCAGGAACTGGCTTAGGAGCAATCTTGTCCGGGGGCAAATGTGGCCGCAATTAGTCTGTCAGTGAGGCGGGGGCTGCAATCAATATCGCGTTGCCGGCGGGACACAACCCCTAATCAGGGATTAGTTGACACACGGCTTTGCGGTGAATTTGTTGTTAATTTCGCCTGTGAATTAAATATTATCAATATGCCTGTGGGACACCTTCGATATTTTGTAAAACAATAATGAGGTTCAAAAATTTTATAACTAAATGCGACAGTTTAGTTATGTTTTTAAGAGTTTGTAACCTAAACCGCTGAACTGTAAAACTGTAAAAATGTAGAAAGCCTTACGTAGAAATATCACATACCTCGGCTGATACCGACATCAAAGTAATAATAATTGTACATAATAGACATAACAGTTACAATAAGGTAGGTTTACTATTTTTCAAGGAATTATTTCGTTACTTTTTAGTGCACTGTTTTTTGAGAATATTTTTCTTTTAGTGTATTTATTTGGAAGTGGGTTTTTTTCAAAACTGTAATTCTAAGTACTTTTACGATATGAAAATCTTATAAAATTCTAAAGACATAACCTCAAAATTGTTTTTGCCCAATTTCCATTTCTATTTAAAACACTCTAGGCATTACATTTGTATCAAATATAATTGAAATCATATTGAAGTGTTTGAAAATGTCAGATATATTACATAACACACGCAGAGGTAGTAGCTAGTTATGTGTGTAGGCAGTGGGGTACGCAGTGGGGTAGGCAGTCGCGGGTAGGCGGCCGGAGTAGGAATATAATACGCGCGGGTATTAATTTGCGAGAGCGCGCGGATCGAGTTTAATTAACAAATTTAATTAGAAATTAACTGTTTCGCAGACGACGGGCGGCGGGGGGCGGTGGGGGCAGCGAGGGACGGCGGCGGGGGACTCCCGCACAGGGTTGCCACTCACTACTTCGATGCTTAATTAACTATTCATATAAATCTGTTTAATACAATTAATGACGTAATAAATCATGATTTATAGTCTAAAAGCTTATCTTAAGAAAGTCTCCGATAATAGACTATCCACATTATAAATTTAGTTACCTAAAAGTTTTAAAAAAGGAGTGAAAAAAATAAAAATCACTATTTTTATTTTTTTACATGCCAAGTCTTTAGAAACGGTGATATTTTGTGATGCAAATAATAGTATTACTTATCTAAATAGCTTAGAGATCATGTAATAATTAATTAAAAACGAAAAAAAATGACTGTTCAAGAATATTTACAATAATACAATCTTCATTATAAACTATTCTGTTGTAGTTGCCAACCCTGTATGCTGTAGGTACAAGCCGAGGCCGAATTTGAAAATGTAATTTAGTTGCGTTTTGTCCGCGCTAATTGGTTTGTTTCCGAGCTTAGTTACCGCGAACGAACCGGCTGAGCTCGTTCGTTCCGTTCGTTCATTCGCCGCTACGATCATTCGTTCGCTCGGTTCGTCCTTTCGACTGATTCATTCAATTCTGGATTAGTTTTCGAAATGTATTTTGCGTCCAGTCAGCTCTTGTTTTTGTATAATGAGCATATTTTATATTTAGTCTGTCAAACTTCGAGGACATTGACAGAGCGTATTGCGGAGTGATTATTTCAAATTATTATATTAATAAATTAATTGGATTATCAAATTTCATTACATTAATAATCAAACATAGAATAATGAAAAACTCTGCATTAATTGCTATTATTTAGAGATGAACTACTGGCATAAAAGACAATATTAATAGATTTATATATAAGTACGGAGATATAAATTGTGCACATGTTCCTCAGGTGTGGTTCCAGAACCGTCGTGCGAAGTGGCGCAAGACGGAGAAATGTTGGGGGCGGTCCACCATCATGGCGGAGTACGGGCTGTACGGCGCCATGGTGCGACACTCGCTTCCTCTGCCGGAGACCATCCTCAAAAGCGCTAAGGAGAACGACTCCGTCGCACCCTGGCTACTCGGTAAGTTACACTCTCTTACACTGCCTCTCCACTCTACTGTCTGCCCTATATTTTAATCTACAGCAATCTTTCCCTAGATGTAAAAATATATACATTACTTAATTTCTCTTTGGTTAGACCTTCTTTGGCCTTTCTTATCCTTAACAGATCTTATCCCTGTCCTAAAGCTTGGCAACGCATTAGTATTTTCTATATATCGCTGGGTAGCTCTAGACTGAGTTAAAGATTCTCGAACTGCTTGCTCGTTTGTCATCTCTAGTCATTATATTTTAAGTATATATGATATAATTAAAATTGTATACGGTTAATTTTAACAGTGATAGGATTGTAATTCGAGGACATTCGTAAATCTTAAAACGAACGAAAACATTAACCAAATTTATAAAATACGTGTAAGAGTATAGTGTTGAACGTTACATTAAATTTATTGTATGCTGCAAATGCAAAACGCATGGCCTCTCGCATGCATACATTTACGTCCGCCAACTGCCACTACGATCGTGTCGCAATGGTTTAGTAAATTAACAGTTATCTAACCAAACATTAGACTTGAAGTCTGTTATTGCTGGTAGCATTTCGCTACAGTACTTGCAATGCGAGTGATTCGTCAGTAGACTGAATCTTTGCGTCACGATTGATTGATCAGAGGCTGTGATGCGTTTATACTGCAAGTCGCATGTCGCATAGCCGATGGTGGCAGAGGGTGTCTGACCTGATGGTTTTGTTCAAGAGTCCCGCGCGCCGGGTGCCGCCGGGCGCCCGTAGCGGCCCGCCCGCGCCCGCCCCCCGCGCACACGCGGTGAGTTCCGACACATACTGATTGACGGCGAAGCGGCGGCCGGCCAACAGCCGCGCTAACTACACATAATTAGCCGACGCTTGAACAAAATCATTGGCTCTAATTAAACTCTATATTCTAAGTTAGTAATTAGTTAAATCATGTTAACGTTTTAATTGTAAAATGTCATTGTCATTCCCGAACTAGTTTTGTTATTCAATACTAATTTGTTCTTTTTTATTTGAAAGTAGGCGATAAAACAATTAAATGGTTAAATCTGGCGTTGTTTGAACATAGTTTCAGGGTTTTTTTACCTATGTACAAGATTTTATGTTGAAAGTAACTCATGACTAGTTTATTATTGACCACTGATTGAAGTAGAAGTTAACAATAAGTTACAAATTAACTAAGCTGTATTGTAAAATGTGAACAAAACAGAATCCTTCTCACGTTAATATGTCATTCCGTGACTCTCAGAGACACTTCGCAGTTTGCCACCGGCAAGTGTCACTCGAGCTCGACACGCGATAAGCGCATTGAGAAAAATGGATCGCTTTAAACTAAACAAAGTGCATTGTTTTGAAGTATACCAGAGTTTTGGAGGACCATTGATTTAGCTGGTGTGAGGCTGAGGGGGTTGTGGGGGCGGCGGGGGAAGGCGGGGGCGGCTCCGAACAAAGCCATGTGTAATTTTTAATCCCAACAAGAGAGATGTTCTTTTTTCACAAGAGTTGCAGCTCTCGTATCTCAGGCCAGAGGAAACACGACTCTATGTCGTAGACTTAAGACACACGGATAGACTTGGCTTACGTGGTTTGTGAAGCTTGCGTTTGTCTGGTAGCGGGTAGAGGCTTTTATGTCGTCTGTTATGACATTGTTTTAGTTCATTTTCTCGCCGTTTTCCCATTTATTCTAACTCCAACACTTCACGTTCTCGCGGTGACATGTGAAAATGTTTTATTTACTTTGTTGGTTTATGACTTGAACATATTGTTAGGTGCACTTTATTCAGGAGGTGCTACTTAAGTGGTACATTTTTCACTGTAGTGATACATTTTAACAACACAAATGTGTTTTATCTATAGCCCTACGTAACTTAAGTATTTGTATTTTTAACTAGCTGTTCCCATGCGACTTCATCTGCATAAAATTATAAAAAAAATTATTTTATTGTTCATATTTGTCAAGTTATCAATTGCAAATGTCAAAATGACATGACATGATGTCAAAGCATGGCAACCTTGCTTCCTTGATGTTGGCAACAACTTATGGTCTCTTTCCCACATTAGAGCTTTTATCCAAAATACTTACCCCTAAGTTTAAAGGCCCCTAAGGCCCCTAAGCCTAAAGCGTGACGTATGTGTAGGGTTTTTTATTAAAAAAAGTATTATTCAAAAATTTGCTGTAATAGCTGACATCTCAGGCAACAAAAAAGTGTTTGTTAACGCTTTATTATAATAGTATAGAAAAATACGAAACTGCAAATGAAAGTTGTAGACACATGCAAATTTATCTGTCTGAAAAGTGAAGCTTCCGTAATTCCTATTCTAATCTATAATAATGTTATAAAGAGGAAACATTTTTTGTAACTAACAAAAATAAAAACTACTATGCCGATTTTAACAATTCTTTCAATATTGAAAAGCTGCATTATCATTGAGAAATACTAGAGTTTTAATTTAGTGCGTATAAATTCACGAGCATTCAATAATTGAAGGTTAAATCGGCTAAATAAAAAGTATGAAATAAATTAATTTTGATGAAATAAAATAATTAGAAGACGTGTTGTGAGTGATTATGACACACAGTGTAATTAAGGAAGGCAAACATGGTCGGCCGCGGGCGGGAC